TCATCATATTTGTGTTAGATTTTTGAATCTTCAAGAAATCTTTTAAGTGTTCTTGAATTGAACACTTCCCTTCTCCAACATCCATCCACCAAAATCACACAACGTGAGTTCATACCCCTATATTTTCATATTTTCTTAAGTTGTAGGGGGGAGGGAGGGGAATACAAGTTAAATCACCAAGAACACAACTAAATGTTTCTAACAGCTTTCATCAGAAACGTTGGACTCCATTCACAGACTGTTTAGGTCAACTAAAACATTTTAGTTTTCAAAACTGTACAAGGTGAAAGTAGTTCAAGTTCTTATCTTTAAAATGGATACTTGCACATTTCCATACGATTTTTCTACAATTTATGGTGATTTTTACAAAATTGTCTATCAATTCAAGAACCAATCTGAACCAGTCTGTGTTTATGGACGTTTTCACCTAAGTTGGAGGTCACAAAAAATCATGGGAAAATTTATGAACAAACTAGACTCATTTTACTAACTCCAAAATTTACGGATTCTAATTTGGACCTGTTATGAATTTTCTACAAATTTTCTAAAAACAGTAATGGAATATGTTAATAACAGAAAAATACTAACAATTTCATTTCACCTTGTAACATGTCGAGCAAGGTGTACATCTTTATGTGACTATATGTTATTGAAAATAAATGAAATTTTGTCTTGGTATATAGACATGCATCAGTTAATAAATGGATTTTGATACATATATAAAAGATCACAAATTGTTATAATCAAAGTACATCCATTTCATACAAAAATTTGAATAAACTATGTTAAATATAGTTTACGTACATTACAACTACTACCCTTGTTTTCATAAACTATAATAGGTATAGTTTATGATACATTACATAACACACTCATACAAAAAGGGTACATTTATACAAAAAGGATACATTTATACAAAAAGGGATTTTCATTACATTACACATAAATTCGTTAATGACTTTGTGAGACATTCGCTTCACATTTACCAATAAGTATTGTATTGTAACCAGAGTCTCCTGGAGGGAGAGCATGATAGTTGTATATAGATCTATAGTTGGTTTGACAAACCCACACCTTAACTGCATGCAACAGTTAGACCGGCAGGTTTGGGGTGACAAATGTCATAACATTTCCAACGCCTGAAGAACGTCGTTTCAGGCCAACTAGGTTGTAGCATGGTTATTATAACTCACGGAAAGTATTAACAAACATAGGAATTTACGGGACTTTCACTGAAATCAGACGCGTTTATGTCGATTTACACTTACAATATTTTCTATATGTAAGAAAGGTTACTTATACATTTCGGTCTTTGGATATAAGACTACATTACACATTTTAAGGAAAATATCGGATTTTTCTGAAACAAACATTACATTTACAAGAGAGAGGCTTTTATCAATACAAAACAAAAGGTTATGAACTCACCAACCTTTGTGTTGACACTTTTTCAAACAACTTGTATTCTCAGGAAATCACTAAACAGGTAATTCACTGCATTTTGAGGATGGGATGTTAAGACGTCAACATTTCATATTTTGTCAACATATTGTAATTGATTTGGAAACATGTAATTTATACAATGATGTAACTATGTCAATTATATATATGTTGGTTGTGTTTGCTTAAATTACTATTGCAATTGTGGTTATGATACTATACATGAAGTCCTTCACCCCCGGACGTTTCCGCCATCCTAGGTTTGGGGGTGTTGTCAACCTATGTTCTACAAAAACTCATAAGTGTATGAACAATTATATCAACAATTTCAAAAATCATATAAATACATATAAAACTTGAAACTTTGATACTAACCTTGAAATTGGTTTACCATAATCATTACCACAACAAAAACAGGTTTTATAAGTCCAAAATAGTTTAAGGTAATGATTCCAGACCAATTCCAGCACCAAAAACTCGAATCTGCACTCAGGCCTGCCAACTCGTCGAGTGCAAGAACTGAATCGACGAGTTGGTTGAATATATTCATGGACTCAGCGAGTTCCATGAGGGACTCGGCGAGTCAACTGGGAAGTGAGCATAAATTCAACATTAATTTGCATCAAGTATAAAGAAAACAAGCCTAGGCTCTAATACTATTGATGGGTTTTGAGCATTCTAACACTCTTATGGTGTACATGCAACCCTATAAACCTTGGATCTATGCTTTTTCTATTATACATGCAAATATTCAATATTCCAAGGTTTCATCCTAACTAGCATAATATGAAGTATATACAATGCAAGAATCTAGTAGAATGACATACCTTTTGATGAAGCTTAAAGTCTTGAACCTTTAAGAGCTTAGTGCCTCAAGTGTTGCACCTCAAATGGTTCACACAACACCAAAAATAATTGGAATAACTTGAGAATAAGGCTACTTGCACCAAAATCGGTTTTGCCCTCTTGTGTACACACACTAGTCCCATTTCATGAACCATAGACCTCTTTATATAGTTTGGAGGATTAGGGTTACATTCATGTAAACCCTAATACCCATGACCTTTCATTTCCATATGATCCATGGGTTAAAGGTCCATGGACTATCCATGCACTTTCCATACAAGCCTAGTCCATTCTAAATAAGCATTGGTCCACTCTCTCTCTATCTCTCTCTCTCTCTCTCTATATATATATATATATATATATATATATAAAAGATATAAGAGTCCATATTTAATTAGTTCCTTTTGATGATCAATACTAATTAAATAATATGATTTCATATTAATATATTAGAACTTATAATATATTAATATAAATCGTAAGTATCCTTTTTCTCATTTTGTCTATCCAATTGTTCCGATGCCATGCAACCCAAATGGACCATGCTACTCTCGGGTCGAGTACATACCAATAATAGTTATGGGCTTAGACATCTAATCCAACAAATGAAGGGCATGATTACTCAAAGAGTATTTTGCCATATATCAGGTCACATGCTAGCAAACAACGTCATGTCATTCAAGAGGATGTGGTCAATCATGAAATTGAAACTCAAGAAGTAGTGATCACTAGTGCAATTAAAACTGAAGAACCAGTGGGAACTTACCATGTAGAGAAACCAAGGTGCCAAGCTGATGATGGAGCTAATACTTCAATAGTTGATGACTTTGAACCATGTTGCATACATTGACTTTTGTTTAGGGAATAATTTATACCAACAATTGAGAAGGTATTCCCCAGTTCAGAACATATGTTCTGTTTGAGGCATATCCAGGAAAATATGAAGAAATAGTGGAAAGAAAAAGACTTAAGTGACCAGCTTTAGGAGTGTGGTAGAGCAACAACAACCGATCACTTTAACAGAGCAATTGATGAGTCAAATAATATCAATGAAGAGGCTCTTGTATAGGTGTGCAAGATCCCAGCAAACACTTGGTCTAAATCTCACTTTAGTGGTATGTTTGTAGAAATTTATTGATAAATGTTAATCTTTCATGTTGTGTGTTTACTATATGTGTAATTATCTTCTCTTAATATCTATTATTTAGGTAGGTTACACACTGATTGTTTGTTGAATAACCTTTGTGAGGTATTCAATTCTAAGCTAGATGAAGGTAGGGATAAACCTATTATCAATTGCTTAGAGTATATTAGGTAGTATCTCATGAAGAGGTTATGTGTGGTGCAAAAGGAAATAGATAAGTGTGAAGGACTTCTAACCCCTACTGCAACTATAGTTTTTGAAAAGATTAAGACTGATGCGGCTAAATACAATGAGGCGGGAAAGTACTAAGTGACAAACACATGGCAAGATCAGTATGTGGTAAACTTGAATGACCAAAGTTGCAGTTGTAGGTTTTAGGAGATTACAGGTTTCCCATGTAGACATGTTGTTTGTGCTATATGGGATAAAATTGAAAATGGTGAAAATGCCCCACATGTTGATGAATGGGTCCATCCTTGCTATAGGTTATTAACATGGAAAGCCATGTATTTCAACAAAATTGATCCATTGAATGGACGTTCAATATGGCCTAAAAGTGACTGCCCGTTCACTTTACTTCCACGAAAACATAAAACACAGGTTTGTATTTCAAATAGACCAAATATATAGTATACATGTGAACATGGAATGGATTCAATTTTAACTACAGTATATCAATATGTGTAGGTTGGGAGGCCAAAGAAGAAGAGAAGGAGGGGTGTTGATGAGCCAAACAACTAAGTTGGTAAATTGAGCAGGAAATACCTGGCAGTCACTTGTTCAAAGTATTATAACAAAGGGCACAATTCTAGAACATGTAAAGGGCAGGGAGGCAGTGGTGAAGTTGCAGGGGCTGAAAACTATGTTTAGTAGTTATTAAGATGCTTGTGTTGCATGTCTTTTGAAACATAAGTCATGTGTATTTGTTTGAAGATGTAATGGTCGTATGTTTAGTAGTGTCATCTTTATTTGTTTTGAAACTTAGTATGATGGTTGTGTTAAGAACTTTAAAACTTTTCATGTAATGGTGTGTATGCACATTTTGGTAATAAATTAGTCTGTTTTGTGTGCTTCCCTTCAAAGATCAATTCATAACATTACACATTTCAATTGCAAATCAAAACCATCTTAAAGATGCATTTACAATACGCTTAATAACTGCATTTCAAAAACATTCAAGATCAACAATCCACTATAACAGACTATATTCCATTACCATTACCACTACATTACACATTAATCTGATACATAAACCAAATACAACAACACCAACTCCAAAACCCCCTATATAAACTGAAAGTAGAAAAACCCCTATTCGATCAAAATCAAAAAAAAACTCCTGCAAAGGTTACAAACCAAAAGCCAAAACTCCATTACCATCCAAATTTTCACAAGAGACTTAAAGATTAAAATAAAACCAAAAAAAGAACACCCATGAACAAAACAACATCAACCGGTAGTTACACGATTCTACACTCACAATGACAACCCTCTCTTCCAATCGGTTCATTGATCTTATCAAATCTGGAATCAGCACCAATGCCCTATCACACATAGGAGGATCCGACGATCAAAGGAACCCACATCTTGTACAGTTCCAAAATTGTCTTCCAGGGTTTTGATTTGTCCATGAAGTGATCTCCATTGCTTCATTCCCACATCCGCAAGTCACCATCTTTGAATTAGAAGCAACTGGATGTCGTAAAGGGTGCAACGGTCGAGCAACAGTGGAAATGAGTAGAGAGATGGCGATCGCATAAAGGTAAAGGGTTTGCCTAAAAATCGTACATGCAATTTCTTTTAAAGAGAAGGTTACAATTGAAATGGTGAAATTTCCCCTGCAATATAATATTGAAAAACGAGTTAACAGTAAATGCTAACGGAGTGAGCCGGAAGGACCAAATGTTAAAAGTTTTGAAACCACATGAACTATCTCTAAGGTTTTTTGTAAATTACGGACCAAACTTCAAATTTTCGGAAACCACAGGGACCATTTTTGTAGTTTTGTCGAAATAAAAAGGAAAAAGCCATGTATAACAAGCATAACTGGTGAAACGGGAGTTAAACCGGATAAATCCCTTATAGTGCTACAGTATCATTTTCCTTTCTTACTATATCTCTTATCCTGTCGATTTCCATTTGTGGAGGAAGGGTTTTTTCCGTTTTTTTCCCTTTTTTCATGAGTTTATGAAATGGCAAGATGCTACCTTGAAGAAACTACATAAATAGTCCCTCAACCATTTTTTATTTCCAAATAATACACTCAACTATTCTTCAAGATTCATATGTTGTTATTTACGAAGAAGGGTAAATATAAACTTACATACTCTTACCAATTTATATGATGAGGTAAACCTTTCACCTGTTCACACATCTTTTTTCAATTTCTTATCATAAAATTACTTATTTATGCATGTAAAAATTTAAAAACCCTATTGAGTTATATAAATTGATAACACATAAACATCCATGCACAATTTGGTAAAAGATTGAATTGTGTAAATAAACTAGTGTCATTTAAAAATCCTACTGAGTTACATAAATTGATAACACATATAAGTCATTGGCCCATTGAAATACTCCTTTCATCCCAAATTAAATGAAAAAATAATAATCTCAAGTCCTCAACTTGAGTGTACTCATAATAGTTTTTGTATCGGTCTTACATATATATAACTATTGGGTATAAGATAAAAACAAACCAAAATCATCTCAATTTCTAATTTTGCTTGCATAGAAAGATAACTTTGTTGTGACACTTCGTATATCTTAGAATCATCAGTAGAAGATGACTTATACTTTTAGGTGTATATGGATTGGTCTTCAGATTTGAATCCAAAGATTTTCAGAGCATTCAATGAAGAAATACTTTGTGGAAGATGACTTATACTTGCACCTTGTACGTCTAACACTTGTAAACAATTCAGGCTTCCTACTTTCTCAGGCAATTTCTTAAGTTGATCACATCAGCGAAGATCAAACTCCCTGAGATGTTTCAACTTACATATGCTACTTGGAACATCTCTTATCTTGCAATACGTTACACTAAGTTCCTCTAAAGATTCTAATAGCCCAAGATCCTCGGGTAACTTCTCAAGAACATAACACCTTGAAAGAAGTAGAGTTTTCAGGCATTTCAACATACAAATGCTATTTGGGAGATGTTTGATAAGTTTCAACCGTAAATTTAGTTAAACTTTCTAAATGGCTAATATCTTCGGGTAATTCCTCTATCGCACAACTTTCAAGGTCAAGGTCTTTTAGCTGTTGTAAACTACATATGCTTTGTGGTAGACTCTTGAGGTTTTTGCACCAATTGAGATCTAGAGAAACAAGCTTTTAAGGGTTTCCAGTTGATGAGGGTAGTTCTTTGATATCGTTGCTTGAAAAGTTAGGCTTCAACAAACTATGGTTGGAGTGCATTGGAAGTATATCTGGAAACTCCATCATATATAAATAACTTGGATCAAGAACTTGAAGTGATTCCAGTTGTTTGATAAATGAAAGAGATTTTAATAGTATGCATTCACTTAAGTCCAAATAGACTAGCCTTTTTAGAGATCCAATGGGCGCATTAAATTAACCAAATGACAACACTTTGCAAGATTTAACTTCTCGAGATTAGGGAGTAAGCCACAATCAAGGGTCCTCAAATGTGAATAACTGAAGTCAAGGAATTTGAGATTTTTAAGAACCTATCACAAGAAAGAAAGAAGAAAAAGATTAATATTCATGTAATAACTAAGATGTATGGCATTAAATGAATCAATCAACTATTCTACCTTTCTTTCTCCATCTTCCCATAGTTGTATAATTATGCTGGAAGAAATTTGAAGTGAAACTAGATTATTTGCTTGAAATGTTTTTGGTAAAGAACAATGAGGGAAACGTCGCCAACTCAGAAATCGTAACGCATTTGGTAAGTTTTGGCCAACTCTAATATTCACTGGCCAATCCCGAGTATCCGAATCCACATGAAGAAATCTAAGATTCTTCATGTTTCCAAAACCATTTGTAAGAATTTCATAACAGGGACACTCATTGTCACCGCTTGAATTGATTTGAATTGCAATAGTTCTTGTCACTTCTGTAACTTGTAATCCAAGGAAACTGATTATTAAAGTTGATTCATAAGTAATTAAAGTGAGTTAGGTGTTGTTTGTTTTTTTGAAACGAAAATTCATGAAGTTTGCGGACCACCTCTGCAATCCTCTGTAGTAGAAGAAGTGGAACAAACAACTACAGTCCATAATAAGAAGCATGTTTGCTTTTTAACGTCTGCAGACTGCTGCAGTAAACTGAAATTTAAATAAACTAATTTTATAAACTGAAAATAGTTTTCAACACCGAAATTTAAATAGTTATAGTCGTAAAACATTGAAAGAGTACTAAAAAGAACATGTAAAAAAACAAAAGTATAAAACTTTGAAAAAAAAAACTTACAAAAATATAAAAGAAGCTAACAACTTTATTCTAGAAAAAAACTAATTTTAAAAAACATAAAAAAGAAAATAATAAAAAAATTAAGAAAGAATTGCAAATGATGTCTACAAAGTTCGTAAAAAATTACACACGCTAAAAAAGATGAAATTGAAACTGAAAATATTATTAACAGACACACTAAAAAAATAAAAAATAAAAAATTAAAGTTTTTTTTTAAAAAAAAAATCAAGTTCAAAAAAAAATTGTGGAAACTAAAATAAGAAATTGTATCAAATCCGTAAATAAATTTTTTTAAAAAAAAAATCTAAGTTTTAAAAAAAATAAGTTATACCAAAATTCTAAAAAAAACAAATAAAAAAATGAAAGTTGAAGAGGTTTGAAGAGGTAAGTCAAGTGTTACGCCATGCAACACACACACAGAGGTTTTGCAATCTGAAGTCTTCTAAAAAAAACAAACTGCTATGAGAGGGTAAATGTTGCGCGTGTGCTGCGTCGTGCAACAAAAAGTGGTTTGAAGAGGTTTTTTTAACAAAACAAACAACACCTTAGTTTTCTCCACATTGTAAGTAAAATTGATCCTTACCAGGTCCTTAGCGAATACATCTTCAATCTCCCCTCGTATCCACAATCGGTTATGTCTTATGGGCTCATTTGGGTCTGAATGACGAGCAATGTTCTGACCCATTTCCTCTATATGGTCATGCATGCCTAACTCCATATTCGGTGAGATAGCTATGAGAGATTTTTGCTCAAGAACTCTTAAGCCATTCCTAGCGTGAAATCCACAGCTTTCAAGTGCTCTAATTGCTTTGTCTTTCTTCCAACCTTTTAGTAAGCATGCAACATCTAAGAATATTTCCTTGTAATCATCCTCTAGACCGATATAGCTTAATTCTAATTTTTCGAGTGTTTCTTTCAATGGAATTGTTTTTACTCTTTCTATTGTATTTTCCCATTCGAGCTTATTTTGCCCACAGAGAAATGAACCCAAAACTCTAATCGTTGAAGGAAGACCAGCAACATAATGTACAACTTTGAGCAATAGCTCTTTGTACGATTGAATCGGAATATCTCTACCAAATGCATACTTACTCAATAGTCACATTGCTTCATCTTGTGATAACATATTGACATCATGAATACATGTCACCCCATGTGCTACAAGAACTTGCTCATCTCATGTTGTGATGATAATTCTACTTCCTGGTTTAAACCAATCAAGCCCACCAGCTAATGCTTCCAGCTGGTCTAAATGATCTACATCGTCTAGAATAAGAAGAACCTTTTTACTACACAACAACTTTTGTATTAAGCTTTTCCCCTCATGAACACTCACTATGGTGTAACTGCTATTATTTAACACATTGAAAAGTACTTGTTCTTGCAACGATCGCGACCCAAACATTGATGATTTTGAAACTTCTCTAATATTCTCAACAAAGCTTTTTACCTTCAAATGAAAAGCATATATTGTCAAAAACTGCTCTCACCAAAGTTGTCTTCCCACCACCTCCAATCCCCTTGATACCTATCAAGCGAACATCTTCAATGCCCATTTCCATTAATGAAACAATATGTCACACCCCGAAAACCGAAGGCGGAATACATTTCCGGGGTTGACTACCGTGTTGAGTATCAAATCCAATGTACATAGTAAGCAAAGTAAAACAAGCATTACATTACATAATAACAGTTTTACAGTTGTTTCAAAAGTAAAGTTTGTACAGTTGTGATACATAGTATGTATAGACAAAATGTAACGGGTCTTCATGTACACCGTCTTCATGCAAAAGGATCTTCGGGTACCTGTTCTAACGCTGACCTGAGAACACAAGCGGTTTGAAAATCAACATAAAGCTGATGAATTCATAAGCGGTTTTGTTTTACGAAAATGTATCGGTTTCCTTTCTGTTTCTGAAATGTTATGTACACCAAGAAAATCCCGTATTTTCTTAAAAGTTGGTTATTGTTTCACAAATGTAAAGTATAGTAAGTTTGTACACTGAAAACATGTTTACTCATGTGAAAATGTGTAGTTGGTTATCTGACTGGTTAAACTGTTCTGTTTACTTATCATGTGTTACCAGGAAAGTCCCATACTTTCCTTATTGTATGTTACAAATTGTAAAAGATGTAATGTTATCCATTCTGTGACTCTTTCTAGTTATGTAAGTGTTACCCAGGAAAGCCCCATGCTTTCCTGCATGTATGTATCTTATGTAAACGATGTGAAAGATGTAAAAGATGTAATCGTGATTAGATTCCATGTTTTCCCCAGGAAGGTCCCGTACCTTCCTGAATGTTAGTTACAGTAAGTAAAAGATGTAAAAGATGTAAACGATGTATAAAGAAATCCATTATTACTGTAAGTAAATCTCTGTTATCCTAATTGCGAGTTCCATAACCATACAATAGACTGAAACCTGTGGCAATAAGTAGTCCACATGTGGCAATAAGTCGTCCACATACTTATGACTTTCGTCACCCTTGAACCATTTCGGTTCGGCTGTAGCTAGCAGCCAGGTGTGGGGTAGTCAGCCCCGTATAGATCTATACACTCAAGTCACGCTCTCTAAATACCAGAGATTCTGGTTATGGGTGTAGTCCTCCACTCGCGTAATCCAGGTGGAGTGTTCTCCGAGGACGTGTCTCCAATCGTACCGGAATAACAAATTTACTAGTAATAATATGAAAGTCCTCCACTCGCGTATGTGCGTGGAGTGTTACCGAGGACAAAACAGTGTACAGGTATTATATTCAAATGTTTTAATGTCATGCTTTTAACTGATAAAATGTGGAAAACCATTTGTGAAATACATGTAAAACATACTAGTTTAAAGACTTATTTCACAAATATATGTTACGTGATCTGTATGTTCGATCTGTTATCAGTTGTAGTTATCAGTTATAAAAGCATAAGAATATGAAACACACATTTGAAAACATGTTATGAGTACAAGAATTCCTTGTACTTTGCTTGTGTTCCCCCCTGAAAACAGTGAAAACAGTGAAAAAGGGTAGGGGTATGAACTCACCGGACTCGGAAACGTGTCGGTTTTGAATGCTAGACGTCGGTTCGGGGTTTGATTACTCGCGATGACCCTATGTAAAATGATATAATGTCCATATATATACAATTAGAGATACATTCACTAATCATATGGAACATTACACTCCAATGAGGTTAAACACCTCAAAACGAGCGTTTGGAGTGACCCGGGTGACATCTTCGGACTTGTAATGGCACTAGGGACTTGGGACATGAGTTTACTCTCCATAAGTAAACATTTAAATGAGTTTACAACCATGAAACACACTCACACATGAGTTTACGGCCGTAAACTCATGTTGGTGTGGTTTTGAGGGTTTAAGGGCTCAAATGGACCTAGAGGTTGCTAGAATGGATTTTCTAAATTGTCTTGGAACACTTGGACTGAATTCAAATCATCAAAATGCTTATTTTATGGGAGTTTACGGCCCAGTATAGGCTCCTGGCCGTAAACTCCTTAATCTTCATGAAATGGGTGTCAAATGTTGTTAAAACAAATCACATGTGATTCATAAGATTATTCCAAGACCTAGTATGATTTTTATGTGACATTTGAGGGGTGTTATGGAGTTTACGGCCCATGAGACCCTCCTCATGGCCGTAAACTCTAATGTAGGGTCATACAAAGTGTTTCAAGGTCTAAAACTTGCATAGAAGGGCTTCTAAAATTCATCTAAAGGCTTTAGGGGTGTTTAGTTTGCATTCTAACACCAAAAGTTTTGGAGTTTACGGCCCAAGAACAAGCCTTGGCCGTAAACCCTTATAAGTCCCACAAATGATGTGTTTTAGACCCTTAAAGCATTTTTGGTTGGTCCCTTGATTTATTCCAAGTCTTTTGGTGGTGTTGGATGGCTTTCTAACACTTAGAATTGGGTTTATGTCACATTTTGGGGAGTTTACGGCCCAAGCACTATCCTTGGCCGTAAACTCACATAAGTCCCACAAAATTCATGTTTCAAGTGTCCAAATGCTAAAACCAAGGTCCTACAATTCATATCTAAGCCATAGGAGTGATTTGGAAGGGTTTTAGGGCATGAAAAACCCCTTTTACTTGAGTTTACGGCCTAAGCTTATGCCTTGGCCGTAAACTCCTTTAAATGGCTCAAAATCATAGTTTTAAATGTCCTAAGTCCATATCTTGAAGTCCCATAGCCATATCTAAAGTCCAATTGAGTTTAGGAAGGAGTTTAAGGGCTTAAAACCCCATTAAATGGAGTTTACGGCCCAAGCTTGTTCCTTGGCCGTAAACTCATGTTCTTGGACCTAAAACTCAATTATTTCATCAATTTGAAGGCTAAAGGTGTTGAATAACATGTTAGGGAGGTTACCTTAAAGATTTGAAGCCTTAAACTTGTGATTTGGACCTTAATTCTAGCTTGAGGAGAGAGGTTGTAAGAGTTTAGTGAGAAACTTGCCAAAAGGCTTCAAATGAAGTCTTAAACACGTTTATATAGTGTTTAAGTTTTGGACACGGTGGAATTCTACCCGATACCGGCGTTAGACGGGGTTTTTGGTCGTACCCGATTAAGTTACCGTAACCGATACGGTAAATTCTAGAATTATTCCGATCACTAAAGTTGGGTGTTAAATTGATTTCTAAATGTATTAAGACACCCATTAAGTCATTTTAAATGTGTACTAATTAATGACTTAATTAAACGGAGAAATCGGAAATCGGAAATCGGAACGACGATCGGTTGCGCGAGTTGATTTATGAAAAAGTTACTTTTAAAAAGAAGCGGAAATTTCGGGTTGTTACATTATCCCCCCGTTAAAGGGAATTTCGTCCCGAAATTCAAGTTTAGAACATAAGACAAGATACAAATCATGGATAAGAAAAAGTTGTGGATACTTCTGTTTCATTGAGTCTTCCCGTTCCCAAGTGAATTCCGGTCCCCGCTTGGCATTCCAGCGAACCTTCACTAACGGGATGCGACTTTGTTTTGTACGTTTGACTTCTCGATCCATGATTTCGATCGTTCCTCCACAAAGTTGAGGTTTTCATTGATCTCGATCTCGTCTAAGGGAATTGTTAGGGTTTCATCGGATAGGCACTTTTTAAGATTTGAAACATGAAAGACAGGATGAATGTTACTGAGTTCGTGAGGTAAATGAAGTTTATAAGCAACTGGACCAATCCTGGAGAGGATCTCAAAGGGTCCAATGTACCTCGGATTAAGTTTCCCACGCTTGCCAAAGCGTACAGTGCCTTTCCAGGGCGAGACTTTCAACAGGACACGATCTCCAACCTGGAATTCTAGTGGTTTCCGACGATTATCAGCGTAACTCTTTTGACGATCACGTGAGGCTTTCAGTCGGTTACGGATTTGAATGATCTTTTCGGTGGTTTCGCGGATGATTTCAGGACCAGTGAGAGCACTGTCGGGGACTCGATTCCTGGCTAACTGTGTATCCCCCACCTCGGCCCAGCACAGAGGAGATCTGCACTTACGACCGTATAGGGCTTCGAACGGAGCAGCCCTAATGCTGGTGTGGTAACTGTTGTTGTATGAGAACTCGATCAAGGATAGGTGTGTATCCCACGACTTTCCAAAGTCAATGACACATGCCCGAAGCATGTCCTCCAGGGTTTGGATTGTTCTCTCACTCTGTCCATCGGTCTGAGGATGATACGCCGTGCTCATATCTAGTTTGGTTCCAAGGGCTTTCTGAAGAGATTGCCAGAATCTGGAGGTAAACCTACTATCTCGATCAGAGATAATGGAAACAGGTACACCGTGAAGACGTACTACCTCCTGGATGTAGATTCGCGCGAGTCTCTCCATCTTGTATGATCTTTGATTGGGATGAAGTGAGCGGATTTTGTCAAACGGTCGACAATTACCCAAATGGTATCGTACCCACTAGAACACTTGGGTAGTTTGGTGATGAAGTCCATAGTAATCATCTCCCATTTCCACTCGGGAATCTCGGGTTGTTGGAGCAGACCTGAAGGTTTCTGATGTTCGACTTTGACTTTGGCGCAAGTCAGACACTTGCCCACGAATGTAGCTATCTCAGCTTTCATGTTTGGCCACCAGTATTGTTTCTTGAGATCCAGATACATCTTGTCCGAACCTGGGTGAACAGAGTATTTGGTTCTATGTGCTTCCTCCATGACTATTTCCCTGAATCCACCGGATTTGGGAATCCAGATTCGATTCATGAAACAGTGAACTCCGTCACCTCTGATCTCAAGTTTCTTTTCCATTCCTCTCAAGGTTTCATCTGACACGTTTTCAGGTTTGAGGGCTGCATACTGAGCTTCTCGGATTTGCGTAGGTAAGTTGGAATGGATGGTCATCGTCTGGTTCTTCACTTTGTGGCTTGTACTATCCTTTCGGCTAAGGGCATCTGCTACCACATTGGCCTTGCCGGGGTGGTAACGGATTTCACACTCATAGTCACTGAGTAATTCTACCCATCGCCGTTGCCTCATGTTTAAGTCTTTTTGATTAAAGATGTGCTGCAGACTCTTGTGATCAGTGAAGATTGTGCACTTGGTTC